GGCAATACCATTTTTTTTAATGAGAACACGAAACGCCTTGCAGCACACGAAATAGAACATAAATGGAATAAACTTAATATCCACAAATTTCCGCTTCAGTAAACAAATACGCACGTACTCATAAACAAGTTAGAACTCCTTTTCAGCGTAAAAAAAATATTACTTTCGATAAAATTGCCCACAGAAGATAAAAAATAACTATAAATCATTTAAATGGGAGAAGGGGCCGCATTCAGGCTAAAATTTCAACTGTTGTTTAGGCTATCTCTTGTATTCATGAAGACAACTGTAAGTTCGAAGGTCAAACTTCAAGCGAGTACCGTAAATATTTTCGGTCGTCTAAATTCGCAGTTTAACTTGCCCCAAAATTTCATTTCACAGAACGACAGAGGAAGCCTTACTCTTTCTATAGAATACCATCTTTAGAGCGGAATCCATATGCCAGGTAGGGAGTTTTGCCGTTAAAATTTGCCAAAATCGAGCTTTCTGATATTGTTGTTTAGGAGGGTAAATTTGAATTTTTTTAAAAAATTCAGGTTTGAATTTTTTCCAATTGTAATAACGGTACTTTGTAAAGGAAGAGTCATTGAATTGTTTAATATCGAAATAGATTTGATATTTGTTTTAGTTTTCTTACACGAGTCGCAAATACNGTAAATTTGAATTTTTTTTACAAAAATTCAGGTTTGAATCTTTTCCAATTCTAATAACGGTGCTTTGTAAATGAAGGGTCATTGAACTGTTTAATATCGAAATAGAGTTGATATTTGTTTTAGTTTTCTTACACGAGTCGCAAATACGAAGCACATTTTTCAGTGGTTCGAGGGCTTCTCCAAGGGTGAAAATTAAAAAATCGCTTTACTTGAAAAATATAAATCCAAACGAACTAAAAAATGTATTTTCTTAAATAGTTTCCAGAGGGCTCTCTTGTGAAAAAGTTTGAGGGAATTTGATTTTTGCATTTTGCACACCTATCCGTAGTCTTTACAGGAAGTCACTCTTAATGTCTTAAGCGTATAAACAGGGCACGTGAAATATTTTCCCTGGTGTTGAAGTAAAGCCAATTAACGCTAAGCGTATAGTTAAGCGACAACTCCAGTCCCATCTCGCGCTGCCTTGCTAAAGATGTGAGTAATCGCGTTTAGATTTGAACCTCTTGAAGTGAGAGGTTCTAAATAGGTGTTTATAAACCATCTCTAGATCTGGTGTTGGTTTATTCAGCAAACTTCCTTCGATTACAAAAAATGCTGTTTTTTTTCCTTTAATGAACGAAATCCTCTAGTTTTCCTGATTACTTCATTTCGATTGACGAAATCCCCGCGTTTCTAGAAGGCTATCTCTAAAACGGGGAACGAGGAATCGAGGAACGGGGAACGGGGAACGGAGAACGGGGAAGGGGGAATCTCTAAAGGGGGGAATCTCTAAAAGGGGGAATCTCTAAAAGGGGGAATCTCTAAAAGGGG